CCCCAAAACCCCAAAACCCCAAAACCCCATAAGCCAGCTATTATTGAAAATATTTATATAATCTAAGATAAATGGAATCTATATTAAAGCGTCCCAACTACAAAATCAAGAGCCTTTATGAGGATGATCTCCCCCAACTTGATCATCAAGGTAAGATGATGCTAAAGAGTGACATTAGACTTCACTTAGGCTAAAATAAAATGTTCAAATCCAAAATATCAACATTTTTAAATAAATTCACTTGAATACCAATATAACAACAAGGACCTGAGGAGTTTTCTTACTTAAAGTTTTTTGCAATTTTTTAAATTCTGTTGTAATTTAGTCAATGCTTCCACCTCTAGTTGCTAAAAACAAGCAACCCCCAAGCCTTGGAACTTAGGTTTCCATTCCTTCATCTGTATAATTTGGGTGAAGTGGGATTTCTATTGGAAACCTATCTTCAAGTTATTTATGAGACATAAGCTAATAATCTTCTTCCTAGTAGAGCATGTAAATCATAATACAAGCTCACAATCTTAGAAAACAAGATCTGTTATCTTTCTTTTTAAAACAGTTACTTTCAAAATCGAATTGGGTTTTACAGTCAAATCTTCTGTGAAAACCTGAAAGTTTGTATGAACTAGATTTACCATTGTCCTCTTCATATTTCTCTTTGATTCCTAGATTATGTTGACTAATTATAATCAGTTAGTTTATAATTTACCAATGAATATAGGAAATAAATCATCGAAGTTGGCAGCCTTCAAGGCAAGGTTTAAAAGTGAGAACTTGAAACCAAAACAAAAGTATTGAGAAACTATGAATCAGGGCAGAAAGTTTATGAGTACTAAAATTAATTTAACAGTAGACACTACTGCAAAGTCTTATGGATCAATAGATTCTTTCTCAATGTGTAGTAATATTTTGAGTTCTAAAAGGTGTTTCAAAGAGAATGCAGTCATGAATTTCTTGGATAAACAACATATATATCAGGTTTCTGTGAAAGAATTGCTGCATTTAACTCAAAAGACCACTTCAAAAATAGGAGCAAAGAAATTTTGCTTAGCCTCTCTTCCTTCTATAAATGGCGACTAAATCCTCACCAAACAGTAAAAGTTCCTTTGATACACATCGGAGGTTCTCTGAGGTAAATTAAGTATAATAAAAGAGATCTCCTAAATGCTAATATGGAAATCCAAGCCTAATAATTTTGAATAATATTTCAAAAGTATTTCCTCCAAATTCTTACATTTTTTAAGAACTTATCTGTTCGAATTTTTCGAAAAATTTATCACTAATCAGTTTCTTTGTTGTTAGGAGGCGAGCATATTTTTTTACGTTATTATAAACGAAATTATAGAAAAGCAGGTTTATCTACTATCTCAGTTTTCAAAAACCTTATGTCTCCAGACTGCATCAAACCTAAGATTCTATGGTTAGAGGTAGCATGAAATGTTTAAGAGTTTCTTTCTCTAATTTTTCTTTAACTACTATGGTTCAGATATATTCACCGGGCCTTATAATATGAATTAATTTAGGACTTCAATGAGGTTATATAAAATTGGGGTTTTGGGGTTTTGGGGTTTTGGGGTTTTGGGGTTTTGGGGTTTTGGGG